CCCCCCCCCCCCGCCGGGCAGGGAGCCGGGGGGAGCTGGACGTTCACCCCAGCCCCCCCAAATCCAGACACCCCCCACACACACACGCTTGTTCATACCCGACTCCCAGCGTCGCTCGGGATTTTAACTTTGGGTGTATATGTGGATGTCGATATATTCAGGTACTGTGTACATTTTAGGTATGTGTAATGAGCATATCTGCTATAAATGTGATTTGTCGGTATATCTCTATTTCCTCCGTGTACACGTAGGTCAGCTGCTGGGGGAATTCATTCGGGGTTTCCGTGCTGCTAAGACTCTCTAAAAAGGAAAAAGCAAAACCACCCACGAACGCTGGAATCGAAGTGAAGTTGCTTTTTGGGCCGCGAATTGCAGAAATAACTGAGCTGGGGCTGCGGTGGGGTCGCTGCAGAAGGACCAGCCGGGGTCCGTCCCCTCGGAGGGAAGGACCGTGCCGTATTTTTTCCACCCCTCTGGCTCGAGCACTGCTGGGGGGCCGTCGTGTAGCTCGTGCTCCCGTGGCCTTGGACCTGCCTCTTTCCTCCCGCCCCGTAGCGTCTTCTCCAGGGCGCGTCCTGCCGATGGTCGCCCTGTGCGGAGGAGGCTTTGATCAGCCCGGGGCTGCTCTCCCGGCGTGCTGTTGTCCCGTCTTGCGTCCCTTCTCCCTCCCGGGATCTCCCAGCCGGGGCTTACGTGTCCGTAGGAACGTGAATATTAGATCAATTACTCTTCCAAGAGCAGCAGCTCTTGCTTCGTCCCCAGACCTGCTGAAGAATGATGATGATGATGCCCCCGTTGATGACCCGCGGGCTCCGAGCTGGTGCTCGGCAGCACGGTGGCCCTGGGGGACTCGGCTGTCCCCCAGCCGCGCTGCTCGAGCTCCCCGGGTTTCGTTCCCGGGGGATTACTTTGCTTTTCCTTTGTGGATGAACCAAAGAGAAAGGGGAGCTCCTGGCACCTCCGTCCTCGGCCCCAAACTGCTGGTGTCCCTAAGGGGACAGAAAAATACTGAATTTGGGGGAAACGAGCCCCGGTCACCCAGGGAATGTAAACTCCTGGGAGAGCGTGATCCGCTCGGTGCAATCCGTGGTAAATCCCGCGTCCTCGAATTCAAGGAAAACCCCAAAATTTTGCAAAATGCATTAAAGCTCCTCGTAATGGAGGCACGTTTCTGCGTCCGCGAACCGCACTGCC